AAATGTAAGTAATCTTACTTGATATGTACCCTCGGCAACGGCGGCAATAGCCATGAGGCCGGCGTGCCTTACGCCCCATTCGGGGGAGCTAAGCATCGCTGGGATGTCACGAAATGCGACGGGGAGCAATGCTCTACCACCTAGGAATCATTAGAAGAGACACACAGCCTAGCCAACCGAATTACCTAGCGCCACCGCCGCCCGATCGAGAGTCCCTTCGAATACTTGGGGATATCCAAAGTCTTCATCTACAGCAGAAGGCTGCCGATCGTTAGGGTGGTAAATCCCGGGTCCTGGTTAGATCGCGCTCACATCTTCGCAGTTCTCCCATGCCAGCTGGGTCGCGTCGCCTTCTTCCTCGATAACCTCACCCATGCCTTTGAGGCACGCCCGAACCAGAGTAGACACCCAGGCGGCTTGTATACTGTTTTCGCCGCCCACTATTTCACCTCTGGTGTTTCCTTGGCCTTCAGGACCGGGTAATATCGGCGTCCTAAAGATCCCAGGACGGGTCTCTGTGAGACTGACCATGAACTCGAGTGCCGAATAACGTCGTTCAATCAACGCCTCTTCCTCGTCCACAGCGGGAGCAGGCGTGCCCGCCGGCGGCCATACAAAATGAGGCAGACCAGGGTTTGCAAGCGTCGGTGTCGCAGTGGCGTCCACTGCATTGGGCCGTTGTTCGTTTAGGAAGGGACCCATCAGGCGGGTCAGGGTCTCGATATGGGGGCGGAACAATCCCGCAGTGCGGTAGTCGGAGGCGAGGGAGGTAAGGGTCTCGAGAGCTTTCGTCTGATCAACTGGGGCGAATTCACTCAAGGCCTGTACCAATGAGTTTGAGTGCCAGCAACGGAGTGCGGACTTACAACGAGTACCGGATACATAAGCCCAACCGTCTGACTCTGCAGTCCAGGGTCGTTTGACGAAAGATAAACCGCACATGCTTTGAGGGCTGCATGTCGCACCTATAAAAGTTCTGGTTACTGTGAAGCTCGAGTACAGCCCACATACCGAGACAGGTTCCGTCGACTTTAATGCATTTTCTAGCACTGCCACGACTTGCTGAGGATTTTGGTCCCAGAGAAGGTGAGGCACGTTGGTAAATATCCTGAATTGAAGTTAATGAATCTGGAGATGGATCACCGAGGTGCATACCGGAAGGCAGACTCTCTATGCATAGGATCGCCCGAGTTGGCGAGCTGAGACGCCGTATCGAGCAACTCGGGAAAGGGCCCTGGAAAATACGGGGTCAGAATCCAACACTGCTCGATGGGTAACATACTCTTTCGCTCGAAACTCCCAACCGCTAGTTCGCAGATCGTCTCGGTGACACCCTTCAGAGCGCTCTGGTCACGTTCCTCCTTGAGTGCTGCCAGTAAAATTGCTTCGAGGTTCCCCCTGGTGGCCTCGGAGAGGTGGTCATAGATGGTCGTCTTGGATGCGGCGAGAGCTTGGTGAGGATGCGGGGACGGAACAGGATGGAGCGGTGGGCGGAATATAAGTCGTCGAAGTAAGATCGCAGCGAATGCTCGCATGTGTGCGTCGGGGCTTTGACGGCTAAATTCTGCCAGCGCCAGCAGCAATATTTCTGGTTGGTTTGCCAGCCATTTGTCGTTGAGGACCTTTTCAGCGCTGTGCGGGATGGTTAGTGCCGATTTCGAAACATGCTTGGATTACATGTGCAACCGAAAACAACCGATCAATATGCCCCCACTTACGATCGACGAATCTCGTTGTCCCCTAGCACGAGGTTGGATAAAATTTGGCCCAGTTCGGCGCGTATTTGTTGTGGAATAGCAGATTCCATGGTTGATGTACACTCGTCGAGCCAGGACGGGAGGCGGAGGTGGTAGTCGCGGAACAGAAACCAGGGTCAAATTACAGTTCTTCGATCCAGAATTTGTCGCTCGTGAGTGAGAGTACCTGTAACGTAACAAGTTGCTTGCGCCAAGGGCATGTAGTGTAGGGGTTATCGCGCCTCATTCGCAGACGAGTCCGGAATTGAACCGGATATCAGTCACGTGACTTGAGGAGGTCCTGAGTTCAATTCTCAGCTTGTCCACTCTTTTTACTACTTAATTATGCCCCGGAATATGCTTCCGTAGGCCGGGGAAGATTTCCCGAATTTAATCTTTTTTTTTTTCGCGAGGGATTGACATGGCGCCGGATGCATGTTCTTTTGAACGTCACACAGGGTTGACAAGCTGCAACGATGAATTTGAATATTCCATCACCACTCTGTGTTGCCACCGGACTCGAATCGATGCACACCGCTGCATTACAGTAAGTGGCACTTGGAACTACCTTGGCCACATCGCTCTACAGAAACAACAGCTCTCTCCACCTGCCAGACCAACCGACGTCTCTTCAAAC